CAAAGTGAGACCATTCGTTGGGCGGGCGAGAATGTAGCCGAGGAGCGAGCAGTGAGGGTGGAAGAGGAAAAATAAAAATATTCACAATTTTTAAGTTATGTGTAGAAGTAACTCTCTTCTATAGAAGACTCCCTTCATGGAAACTATCTTCTCGTCTATAAAGGCAACCTTCTTAAAAGAGGCGATCCTCGGAGAAGTCTATAGAGATGTCCTTAAGGTCGTCTATAGGGATTTCCTTCACGACGTCTATAGAGACGTCCTTCTGGTCGCCTATAGAGAAGTCCCTCGCAACGTCTATAGAGATGTCTACGGAGACGTCCTTCAGATACGTCTATATATACGTCCTTCAGAGAAGTCTATAGAGACATCCTTTAGAGACGTCCTTCAGAGACGTCTATACAGACGTCACACAAGACGTCTATAGACTTCACGACGTCTATTGAGACGTCCTTCAGAAAGTCTACAGACTTCACGACGTCTATGTATAGATGTCCTTCACGACGTCTACAGAGACGTCCTTCACGACGTCTAAAGAGACGTCATTAGCGATGTCTATAGAGACGTCCTGCACGACGTCTAAAGAGACATCCTGCACGACGTCTATAAATACGTCCTGCACGACGTCTATAGAGACGTTCTTCACGATTCTTCTATAGAGACGTCCTCCACGACGTCTATAGAGACGTCCTCCACAACGTCTATAGAGACGTCCTCCACGACGTCTATAGAGACGTCCTTTACGACGTCTATAGAGACGTCCTTCACGACGTCTATAGAGACGTCCTTCACGACGTCTATAGAGACGTCCTTCACGACGTCTATAGAGACGTCCTTCACGACGTTTACAGAGACGTCCTTTACGACGTCTATAGAGACGTCCTTCACGACGTCTATAGAGACGTCCTTCACGACGTCTATAGAGACGTCCTTCACGACGTATATAGAGACGTCCTTCACGACGTCTATAGAGACGTCCTTCACAATGTCTATAGAGACGTCCTCCACGACGTCTATAGAGACGTCCTCCACGACGTCTATAGAGACGTCCTTCACGACGTCTATAGAGACCTCCTTCGGAGACGTCTATAGAGACGTCCTTCATGACGTCTATAGAGACGTCCTTCAGAGACGTCTATAGAGACGTCCTTCATGACGTCTATAGAGACGTCCTTCATGACGTCTATAGAGACGTCCTTCACGACGTCTATAGAGACGTCCTTCACGACGTCTATAGAGACGTCCTTCACGACGTCTATAGAGACGTCCTTCACGACGTCTATAGAGACGTCCTTCACGACGTCTATAGAGACGTCCTTCACGACGTCTATAGAGACGTCCTTCACGACGTCTATAGAGACGTCCTTCACGACGTCTATAGAGACGTCCTTCACGACGTCTATAGAGACGTCCTTCACGACGTCTATAGAGACGTCCTTCACGACGTCTATAGAGACGTCCTTCACGACGTCTATAGAGACGTCCTTCACGACGTCTATAGAGACGTCCTTCACGACGTATATAGAGACGTCCTTCACGACGTCTATAGAGACGTCCTCCACGACGTCTATATAGACGTCCTCCACGACGTCTACAGAGACGTCCTCCACGACGTCTACAGAGACTTCCTCCACGACGTCTACAGAGACGTCCTCCACGACGTCTATGGAGACGTCCTCCACGACGTCTATAGAGACGTCCTTCAGAGACGTCTATAGAGACGTCCTTCAGAGACGTCTATAGAGACATCCTTCAGAGACGTCTACAGAGACGTCCTTCAGAGACGTCTACAGAGACGTCCTTCAGAGACGTCTATAGAGACGTCCTTCAGAGACGTCTATAGAGACGTCCTTCAGAGACGTCTATAGAGACGTCCTTCAGAGACGTCTATAGAGACGTCCTTCAGAGACGTCTATAGAGACATCCTTCTCAGGTCGTCTATAGGGACGTCCTTTAGGTCGTCTATTGAGACGTCCTTCAGGACGTCTATAGAGACGTCCTTCAGGGCTTCTATTGAGACGTCCTTCAGGTCCTTCCTTCCATGAGAGTTCTGTTACTTTACCATAAAATCTTTAAATGTCTTTAAATATCATGGTGTGTAGCCATAGTTGTTCATATTCCACCTCTGCTCCATATATTTTCTTCCCCCAGCTACATTCCTTCATCCCTGTCATTATTAAAATGCAATATTTATGTATTACTTACTTTTATTTATTTTCAAATCAGATTTTTCTTATATTTAACCATTAATTATTACCCTATGTTGTCATACTGCCTTAAAGGTATGCCAAGCATATCTCCATTTCATATACACTCCCCAAATGTATGCTACAAATTAATGATTTCCTATATGTTTTCGTTTTTTTTTTTTCATTATTCGCTTTCGCATTTGTGTCATTTATGCAATAATTTTGTTGAATTCTTAATCTTTAGTCTTTTGAATCTTTCAGCAATGTTGCATGAAACTTGAATAATGTTCATATCTTAATCTTGTTTAATTTAATAAATACTCAGACAATTTGTTTTAATTATTTGTTGTTGTAGATGTTATTATTATACCTCGTCGTCGTCACTACATAGTACATACATACAACTGTAAGTGATGTTATGTGGAAGGGTATGTATGTATGGTTTAAGACGTAATATGAAAGTATGATATTGTATATGTATATATATGTGTGTGTGCATATAAGTACATGTGTTGGTATTGTTTATATTTCCATTCCTTATACCCTATTTTTGATTTATTTTCCTAATTAATTTAATAATTTATTAAATGCTTAATAATTTGTTGTTGGGTTTGTTGTTGCTTTTTGTTGCTGCTGTCCTTGGCTTTAAAAATACTTTATTTATTTGTATGTATATATTATTAATCAAATACAGACATTGATAAATTAAATAAACGCAAAAAAGAATGGATACAAATGAATGCAACAAACAAAATTACATTTACATGTATGGGAGTTTCCATGAGAAGTTTGAAAGATCAGTTCACATAATTTTGAGTGTATTTTGGCTAAAAATGGTTCAATTTATATCCTTGTTAGGGAATCAAACCCCCAAATAATGACCTCCCCTGTGAAACTATTGGTATGTTAGAATATATTATTACGTTTTCAACCGAATGGGCTACAACTTTTTTGTTGGTTTCTTTAACGTTAAAAAAGATGAGGTAAAAATATTCATTATTTACAGGTATTAGGAAATCTAATATGGTCATAAATGAAGTTTTTGTTTTGGAGGATATTTTTGAAAAAAATTGGAACAAATCAATATCATTGATTTTTTTCTTGTTCTTCTGATTTAGGAAGTGAGTTTCAGGAAAAATTTCAAAAATGTCTCCGTTCTCCTTATAAAATTATAATCTAACTTTTCTGAATTTTCCTTTTCCACATTTCTAAAATATGTGAATGTAATGTTTCTGAATTTGGCCTTGACTCTCGTACAAAAAGAAGCAGAAGCATCAAAGGCCAGAAACCATTTCTGGGGGACCGATGCAATATAAAAATGATATTTTCAAGCTATATACCCTCGAAAATTCACCTAGGTGACCTAGGCTTTCACCCTGCCTACGTCGGTGTCCTTCACCATAATATGGTAGGATATTTACCGCATTAATATGACGATGACACCCCGATAATTCATTTTAGATTTTATCAAAATTTTAAAATTTTTGATCTGCGTGAAATTGTACGTCGACTCCTGTTTTTATCACTTTTTATTGGAAGAAAGGCATATTGTATTATACTCAAAGTTCCGCCGGGTATTCCGAATCTGGAAATCTTCATCCAAATTTTCCTACAGAGTTAATGACATGTGAAGTTTAAATAGAAACTGCTCGAGTATTCGATCTCGTCTCTCTTATTTTTATTATACACTCCACCATAGTATGGAGGGTATATTAAGTTTGCCATTCCGTTACAAACGGAAACCTCGAAATATACATTTTATATCTATATACTATATACTAATATATATATTCTTGATCAGCATAAAAGTCTATGTCGATTTAGCGATGTCCCTCCATTTGTCCCTCTATCCGTCTGTCCGTCTGTGGAAATCACTCTAGCTTCCGAACGAATTGAAGTAGATTGTATGTTATGTCTGCAGGACGTTTGGTATTGAAAATGGGCCATGTATGTCCAAGTTTTGGTATAGGACCCATATAACGGTACCTCTGGATATTCGGTATTTTGATGATTTTAGCGACATTATTCACCGGAATTGTTTCAAATTTGGTATTTGATGTTCGTACACTGGATGCTACAACCTATGTCAGGAGATTGACTGTGCAGGTCCACGCCTTCGTATAGCCCCCATATTCGATATTTTGATGATTTTAAAGACATTATTTGCCAGAATTGTTTCAAACTTGGTATTTGAAGTTCGTAATAGATACTACCGCCTAAGAAAGAAAATTGTCTGTGCAGGCCCATGTCGTCGTATAGACCCTAATATAACAGCTACATTCGTTATTTTTAAGATTTTAACAGAATTTTTTTTTCTAATATGCGCTACATATATATCCTTAATCATTGTGAATTAGAAACCTATATTTGCCGGGAGTTTAGTACCTGACAAATTTGTTACTAGCCACTAACTTCGTTCCCGAAGCCTGAAAAATATGTCGGGCGTTCTCGCTACTCAAGACTGGCGAGGCCAATTTTGCTGTCGTCTCCAGAAGAAAATACCATTCAGGCTTTACTCCTCCCTAGCATCAGAGATGCTATCCAGATGTAAACCTCCAACACGAATTTCGCCCAAAACATAGCTCCACAACAGGCCATATCGAAATATATTAATCGAGTATTTAAGCACAACAAGCCGTGTCATGGAACCGTAAAGGTAGCACTTGAGCTATCAAAGGCATTTAATACTGTCAACCACGCCACATTGTTTGAGGTAACATTGTTCGTTGAAACGTTGGAGAGACAGGAGTTCCCCAAGGTGGGGTGATGTCTCCCGAACCATTTAACCTCAACTTTTCCTAAATTACTCACCGTTCAGATGTCATAGAAATCGTAAAGTATGCTAATGATTTTACGATCATGCCGTCGGGCCCTAGTGTTGATGGCATATGTGGCATAATTATGAATACTTATCTTGCGGAGCTTGAAACCACATACCCTGCTGAGATAAGAACAGTCATGTAAAATATAATTTCGATTACGACTTCCCCAAGATCCTAGGATTTAAATTCGACATCATGTTTAAGTCCTCCGCGCAAGCCACAGCTTTCTGAGACAAAATTAATAGGTTAGTCTGTGTTATAAAGATATTGGTTACTCTGTGTTCAGCTAAGCGGCCCCAGTGTGGCAAGCGAATACAAGATTTTATATAGAGGTAGGTCCAACGCTACAAGTGAGAGCCTATAGATCAAGAAGCCTATCAGGCTTGTCTGAGTGGCATTCATGTTGATGCAGTCTCAGATGCCATCAACAATTCTACCCTACTCACCCCTGGAGATCTCTGGTTACAGCCCATGAAAATAGCCAGAATTTTTTGAGTTAGAACCAACGACAATTATAGAGCAATCGAATGGCATGTATAATCAGATGTCGGAGATATAAAATGTAATAAAAGTCCGATTGTATTCAAACTGCACGTATTCCAATATTTTTATTTACACATCTGGTAAGAGGGTAGGATATATCGGTTCACTCATTCTGGTACCTTCTCCAAAACGGGTCAAAATTTAAAATAAGAGTCTGATTGTCTTCAAATCGCGCACATCTCAGTATTTCCACTAGCACAAGATTTTGGGTGAAGACGGAGTATATCGGATCACATCTTCTGGTACCTCCCCCACAAAGGGTCAAAATTTGGAATAATTGTATCTCTCATAAAATACAAAATAGGCATCAGATTCTCTTCAAATTTCACATGTGCCAATATTTCTAACAACACAAAACCAGGTGTGAAGATGAAGTATGTCAGACTACTTCTTCTGATAGAGGGAGCTAACGGGTAAAAATTTTTAATAAGTATCTATATCTATAAAAGAGGAAAATGTTTGTAATTCATGGACTCGAAAACCGCTGAACAGATTTTCCTGAAAATTTCCAAGTATACTACAACATCGCATGAAAGTAATATAGGCTTTATACATTTTTAAAATTCATTTGGAACTGAAGATATAGCATCAGTATCGGAGGTACCTTCCCAAAATTTGAACTTTATATGCACATATCTACTGATCGATTACAGATGCAGATAAATTCGGGCAGAGAGACGAAATCTGGTACCCAAAAAATTTGCCGAACTATATTGAAATCGGTTAATATTTAGGTGTAGCTCCCATATTTATGTTTCGGCCGACTTCATGTGTGTTATGCACTAAACACATATATATGACCGATTCCAATGAAATTCAGAATGTGTGTCGGAATTTAGATACAATAATAAATGTGACATATTAATTGGAAATCGCTTAAGATTTGGATATAGCTCCCATATTCTCTCGGCCGATTTCACATATTTGATGCACCAAACACGGTATGTACCTTCGATTTCAATGAAATATGGAAGGTGTGACGGAATTTGGTGTAAAATTAAATGTTGTCAAATTATATTGAAATCGTTTCAGATTGGTATATGATTGCAATGGTATTGGGCTAGGAGTAAAAAAGAAACTACAAAACAATTCAATTGAGGATACGGTTATTGCGGAGAGGTATTTATAATTGTAATTCTCTAATAGCAAAATACATGCAACTCAACTTCAAAAGATTAAAGTTTCCAGCACGCTTGGCATTTGCTATGAAATTAATAATCGGAAGGACAAACCCTGAATCGGTACGTTCCTGCTTTTCTCATGGTCAGCTGTTCCTATCATGTTCACGCGTTGGTAGACCGACCTATTTGTGCATTTACGCATTAAAATATTACAATATTTTTTTTTATTTTCGAATTTGTTTATTTTTTTTTTTTAACCATTCGTATATAACATTTTGAATGAATATGAAATCAAAAAGTCTAGCGATAAAATGCGAAATAAGCATCAGAGTCTCTTCATAATTTCATAATCATAATTCCGAAACACCCAAAATATTGGTACAGATATCTGATTTTCATCAAATTTTGCAGCAGGTACCTCACACATATTTTAAAATGAGCTGAAATATTTTCATGTTTCATGGAATGGCAAATTTAAGTTCCTCGCTATTTCTAAAGAACGATTTTCAATGTCGTTTACATTTAAATACATCAACATTTACTAAAATTTGCAGATCATCTCATATAGGAAACGCCTTAAGTGAGCGGTTATGTGTGTGAATAGTTAGCCAAAAAACGTATTTTGAAATTCCTAAAAATCATATCCTTAAAGCATTTAAGGACAATACCATACGTTCTCTGTACAAATTTAAGATCTAATTCAACCTTGATTTTAAACAATCTCCTTAAATTCCTACGAAAATGTTCATTGGGTATATTAAATCACACACACACAATCAAACACTCACTTACATACATGTAAATGCTCTCCATACCCGATCTCTGTTTTTTTTTTCTTTTATTTTACCGGTTACACATTACCTGTTATTGTTGTTGCTTTTTGTTTTTATACACATTTTATTTAATAATTTGTTCAGTTGTTTGCTATGGCTGCCACCTTTTTGTTGTTGTTGCTACTTTCGTAATAATTGTGCAAATTAACTTATCACCGTTGCGCGTGCCTGACATTATCCTGCCTAGCAATCACTGACGAAGAAGTACAAGAAGCGGCAGCACCATTGCTACTCCGTATTTGGCAGAATAACCATCGCACTTGCCAAACTTTACTGCCACATCTTTGCTTATTAACATACGGCTTGTTAAGGCAACGGCGACACCAGCAGAAGCTATGTTGATGATGATGTTGTTGTTGTTGTCGCGTCTCATTATTACGCAGCTCAATAGCTGCTGTTGCGGTTGTTGTTGCTGCTCCCACTTCGTTTTTATGGCTGCCAATGGAAATCACATCCGCCGCGTTATTGTTGCGCCTGTTTCGACAATGGCAAAGGCTTTGCAAAAATCTCAACGGTTTTGTTAATAAATTTTGATTAAAACTGAATAATAAGCAGCTTAATAATGGCATCAGGACACACATGTGTCCTGAAATATGATTGAGATTTAACATTAAGGATTTTGCCGAAGAATGATAATCTGATAAAAGAGAAAGAACGAACGAACGAACGAACGAAAAACACAAAAATATTAAAATCAGAAAATATCGGAAATGGACACCGTATAATTAATAAAAGGCATTAATTAAATATAATTATTTTTGTTCTTGTTGTTTTCAATTTTGCCAAGGACAATAATGCCACAATGTCCTCAATGCAATACTTACTTGTATATTGTGTCAGATACAGGCCATTCTCATCGTCGAACTCATCGCTGTGGTCATAGGGGAATACTTCTGGTGAACGACCGGAAGCCAATATTCGTGGACGATCTTCTTCAATGTATTTCTCCGTTTCGGCATGGTAAATTAGATGTATGCGTGCAGAACATTTCAACTAAAATGGGATGAGAATGCGTTATTTTACGTTAAAACGTTAAATTAGTTTTGATGTCTTTGTGTGTGTTACCTTTAAACGCCCCTTTATGAAATGCTGTAAGGTCACAATAAAATTTATTTCCAGCACCGCAGATTCCATTTGTTCCTCCACATGTTTTTGTATATCATATGTCCGCAAATAGTTTGGTGGTACCTGGAAGACAGAGAAGAATAATGAGTCAGAGAAGTATAATTAAAAAGAAGAGAAAACATATGGTTACGACAGGTTGAGTATTGTTTTTTTCACCATGAGTGGAGTTTGGATATGACATCCAATTCTATATACGGTCTAATGGCCGAGGTATTGATGGCCACAAACCCATATAGAAGAGTTTAGGGGTGATATAAGTCTAATTATACCCTCAGTCATATGGCAACAGAGGGTATATGTCATTTGATACGGCCAAAGCGTACTTCTTCCAAATAATGGTTTTAGACCCTAGGTCTCTTTGAACTAAATTCATTTCAAGATATTTGGAGAAAATCTAGAAGTGTCCGTCCGTGCGTACGTCTGTCTGACTGGTTGGTGCGCACAATAACTCTCGAAGGGAGTGTCCGATTTGGTCCAAACTTGGTACATCATAATATTTTTATCAAATATAGATCGATCTCGGAGATGGGCAATATCGGTCCATCCCTTCTGAAATCTCCCCTACGAAAGGTCAACATTTTCACAGAAAATAATTATTAATAGAATAAGAATATATCGCCAAATTTTGAGCAAACTTTGCATTTCCCAATCTTTTTATCAGTTTTAGATCATGTACGAATTGAATATATCGGCCCATTCCGTTAAGTCTCTCCCCCACGAAGGGTCAAAATTTTGAATAATCATCTCTCTTATAAATACACAAGATCTGGTGTCAAAAACGTACCATTCTTTCTGATAGCTCCCCCACAACGGGACAATTTTTTTGAATAACCATGACTCTCATAAAAGGCGAAAAGAGCATATGATTATTTTCAAACGTGGTACAGCATATTCCTACTGGTACATCCCCCACGAAGAGTCAAAATTTTGAATAATTATAACTCCTATTATCCTATCATCCTCACGTTTTGTGCATCTCAATACCAACACAAGACCTGCTAAATACAGCAACGGGTCAAAATTTTGAATAAATATATCGCTCAGAAAATGCGAAATAAGCAGCCGATTCTCTTCAATTTCCACACATCCCAATGTTTTTATTCTAAAACCAGAGATAGCATTATTCAGATATAATAAACATTTGAGTAAATCGACATAGAATTTTATGCTGACCAAAAATATATTTACTTTGTGGGGTCTAAAATGTATATTTCGAGGTGTTACAAACTTAATATACCCTCCATTCTATGGTGGAGGGTATACAAATTTGATATGAATGAGGAGTCTATGGGTCACTCCTTGTGGCACCTTCCCCACAAAAGTTCAACATTATGTTTATCATTTATTCACATAAAATTGAAAATAAATGTTAAGGATAAGATTAATACATCGGTCCGCTATAGATGATGACTTGCGCATTTTTCAACATTTTCTTAAAATGTGAAAAAATTATTCGATACAACCAAAATCTGTTACGTTCCAACATTAATATCAGACGTAGCTCAGATATGAAATGGGAAATATTGGCCCACTTCTTTATAACTATTCCCATGAAGGGTCAAGGCTATGGGGCATATATCTGTGGGCACAATCGACTCATACTATTTAAGTTGTGTTTTTTTAATTCGTACTAAAAGTTACTAAAAATTTTCAAACGGATGGAGCCAGAATTTGAGTCAATGATGGAGTGTAGGATAAATGAACCAAAGAATTTTGGAAAATCGAACTATAAGTGTACGAAAAAGTATGAGTATAGTACCATTCGGAAAGATCTAACATCTATGAGAAATAAGTTGGGGAACTGTACTGAGTGGCACTATATTTAGTACAATTTGGCTTTGTGTAAATGGATGGACCTGGAATTTTGAAATGTTGATATTGGGTTGGTTGAGATTTGAAGGTGGTTTTTTTGAAATATATACTAAAAAAGAAAACAAAGGCTATAGCAATGCGGGCCATCCAAAAATTAGGGTAAAGCCAAATCCATTTCGTTTATGAAAAAAACGCTCTGCACAAAAGTTACGTATTGTTTTTAGCCTGGAGCACTTGCCTATATTTACGCTCTTTGTCGAGCTGATAGATATTCAAAACAAGTTCGCACGAAAGTTGTGATGCATTTTACCTCCTAAATATAATCCAATGGTCCCACAAAATGCAAGACTTCTGCCCTGTCTTTAACTCTCTCCTAATGATAAATTACGTGTCGATAGGTTTTCAATTGTGGCCTGTAAAGCGACTGCAAAATCAGTAAAATTATTAATTTTGGGTTCATTTGAACCCCCAAATGTACAAAAACAATAGGCCTTAATTCTGACCCTAACCCTACCCCCATACAAAATTCCGTATATAATACCGGTATATAATACAATCAACAAATAGTGTTGCAGAGTGTAGAAAAATTTTAGAAAATATCCACTTCGAAATTGTAAGTCAAATTGAAAAAATCGCAGGCAGTAAAAAATATGACAGAAATTGAAAAAAAAAATCAAAAATAATCACTCTTTTTTGTCATATTTTTTCGGGATTTCCTTAGATTTTATCCTTGTCTAACAAGAGACCAATTCCGAATTAATGAGAATTGTGAAAATCAGTCCTTGACTTATGAGCGGAATAACTAAGATCGATCTAGTTTACATATATATTATACCAATTTTGCTATATATCCGAAATCTTGGCAATCAGCATAAATGTAATGGTCAGAAGTGAAAATGTCGACTTTCTTTTACAAATGGTATATGGTATATTTTAACCGCTAAATAACGTCCGATGATCATTCAAATTGATAAGCCAGTCCTGAACTCTAACTCCACGCAAAATTCAACGTCGATTGGTTCATAATTGTGGAATCTAGAGCAAAAACAAAATCAGGAAATTTTTCTGTTATTGGTCCTTTCAATCCCTAAATATTTTGCGATCATCTCTAAAAAAATAAGCATCCATTCTGACCCTAACCCCTAACCTCCATTTTCCATTTCATAAGGATCGGGCCATAATTGCGATCTGTAGCGTGATTATAATTTAATATGGACAGACGGAGAGACAGGGTGAGATGAAAGAACTGCAACCAATTTCAGACTGCTGTCATTTCTAAGCCACTCGTCCGACAGGTGATAAAATTATTCCAGTGACAGCTCATTATATTGTTTACAAGCGTACAAAAGCACTTTGATGAGACTTTTTCAGAAAAAAAAAAGTTATTCGTAATGGAATTCAAGCGTGATAGTATGATTCCTTTGTATTTGGCTGCAAAACCCCAAATGGCTATCGTTTGAGCACTCCAGCATTTAAATGTGAATAAATTTTTTATGTCTCGTACCATCGCTCGTTATCCTTTACCGTGATACTGATTGCGTAGCCCGACGTCTCGGAAGTGGACGGAAGAAAACAGCAATATATCAGCAGAAATGGTTCGAAAATTAAGAAGCGACTTGATCGAAAGCCACTTCGCCGTGGCCGAAAAATGGCTCATGAGCTGAACATATCGCAATATTCCATTCGGCAAATATTGAAAAATGAGCTCGGGATAAAGCCATTGAACATCCAAAAAGTGCAAGAACTTACGTCGCAACAGAAAATATACTCAAAAAAGAGCTAAAAAGTTGCTTCGCTTTTCCGAAAGTGGTGAACTGCCGAAATTGGTTTTCTCAGATGAGAAAACATTTCTTGTCCAGCAGTTTGTAAACAAACAAAATGATCGTGTTTACTTGCCAAAGAGGTCTGTTGAAAATGTGGAACTTGGGTTGGCCACAAGAACTCAAGCGCCGGCCATGGTGATGGTGTGGACCACCATAACAGCCGAGGGTCGCGATCCGCTGGTATTAATCGACCGTGGCATCAGCATAAATGCCGAATATTACCGCGAAAATATTCTGGGGGGTGCCATGGGCACGCAATCATTTTTGCCGCAGACCTTGGACATTCCGACAGGACCCAGCACCATCGCACGCGCCACTAAAATCTCCGGATACCAATTCGTTGGACTATTGTGTCTGGAGTATTTTGGAATGCAAGGTTGACACTACAAAATACCCAAATGTCGAACGCCTCAAGCAAGCGCTTCGCCGGAAATACGCCAAAATTCCGAAGAGTAACTTATTCCAAAATTTAATACTATTTCCGACATTTTTTTCTTTCATTCAATAAAATTAAAAAAAAAATGTATGTAAAAATTATGGCGTTTGACTTTGTTGCAGTTTTTTTTTTATCTCACCCTATATATTATACAATTTTTGCTTTATATCCGAAATCTTGGCAGTCAGCATAATGGGGGTTTATTTTAACCCCCCAAATAATGTCCGATGATCGCTCAAATTAATAAGCCATCCCTGAACTCTAACTCCACGCACAATTTGTGGCCCCTAAATATTTCGAGATCATCTCCAAAAACAATAGGCTTCTATTTTTACCCGAACCCAGTCTCTATTTTTAATTTCGTGAGGATCGTGCCAAATTTGCGACCTGTAGCATGATTACAACTTAACATGCACAAACGGGCCAGTCAAACTTATAATACCCACAACACATAGTGTTTTAAGGTATAAAAATGCCAACACTGCTCTAAAATAAAGCCAATTTTGATATAAATGTTGACTTTATCACAAAAACTAGAGCCGTTATTGGAAAGCTGACCAAAAGTTAGATAAAAAGATTTTACGAAAAAATCCACCATTACCTCAAAAAGTAAAAAATGACACAACTCCGACAACATATCAATGATTTTGGTTTCACGATTACTGAAGAACAGCAATTAAATTTATGCCAACTCCACCATCATTAGCTGTACCACGTCTATGCTGCGAATATAGATTTGTTTCAACATTACAACTAATTCTATTTTATTTTTCTTTTTATTTGACATTTTTATTCGTTCATAGAAAAAAAGTTTCTCATAAAAATGCCAAAGTATCCAAATGGAAAAGTATCGCCAAACCAAAGAGGGGAAAAACCTGAAATTCATTAGTTTGGTTTTAAATTTGATTTATGCTGCACTTAAAATGGAAATTGTGCAAAATATTGAAATGCATAATAAATGGTTATTGGTATTTCTTAGCAGCTCATGTTCG